TACAACGTCGTTGCCAAGCGACGAAAACCCAACCCCGATGGCAAACACCGAGGGGGCACCCTGAAGAGGGAGGGCTCTAATGTCTTGTTTCAACCTTAAGGCATCGCCTCGTATCGTATCCAATATCATGCAAGCATAGTATTTTTCACCGACCCGGCACTACCCACTTTGTCAAGTATGCGTGCGTATGATCGAGATTTTCCAGGCAATGAAAATCTCCCAACATTTCGCTAAATCACCCATCCCAACGCCACCCAGGGGACGGCAGGCTCATCTCTTCCGTTCCAAAGCATACTTCGCCTCTTGGCGAAGTAGATCACTATCTGTCTTTCACCTTTCCTTTGATGCCAAGCAAGCGGTTTCCGACAGGACGTGCCGGTTTGATGAAACGCTCCCCTTTTCCCATGTACTCGGCATCACAGGGTTTCCAGAGAGACTTCGAAAAGTACGGCGCGAACAACGCGCAGATCGTGGGCGTGAGCGTGGACTCCATCGAGAAGGTGCAGAATGTAAACGATAGCATGGTTTTCATGAAGATATGATGTCCGTTGATCCAGCTGGAGAGTTTACAGTGAGAAATGTTATCGCCGTTTGTTATGTAGTCGTCAGAATCCAACCAAAGGCAGCTTGACAAATGGTTCATCGGTCTCTAGTGTTGGAAGATGGGATGCATCACGTTGCACCTTGCAACCCAACCTTGGCAACGATAGAAGTACTGATGACCCCTCCTCCTCACATGCCCGCTCATCTGCCGTATTGCTTTCGTTCGATTACCGTCGCAACAGTGTTTTCGTTGTACGGTTTTTCGTGCTCACGTGTGCATTCTGGTTTTGGGATTCCTACAACAGCTGTTTCATAAAGGGCCGATTTGAACCACCTTGAGAAGTTGAAGGTTGCAGCATCTCTCATCTTCTTGTGAATCCTAGTCCGGGCACTTGTTCGCTCAGTGCTATTTGCCGTCGTGGCGTTTTGCTCGAAACGTTTCTGGTTTGCTCAAATTGTGTTGGCCACCAATTGGTTTCATCATGAGTTCTCTCGCATGTAAGCAAAACATTCATTGTTTGCACCGTGTGTTTTTTTCTCCCCCTTTTTTTGCTATACTACATGTGGTTAGCACCTGAACTTCGAGAAGTCGTACAACCTTCAGTTCCCTCTCCTGTCGGACATCGGCGCCAACGTGGCGGACTTGTACGGCTCGAAGCTCGACATCCCCTTCATGGGTAAATTTGCCAACCGTTTGACGTTCATCATCGGCTCCGACGGCAAGATAGAGAAGGTAAGATGTTTGATACGAAAGGCAGTGTTGCTGTCTGCTTTAGAAATTTGAAGTTTTGTTTGGACGCCGAAATCAAACCATTGGACGAGTCAAACCATTGGGCTAGTGTTTCCATTGCACTAGTCCAATGGTTTGATTTCGGCTTCTACACTGCGCAGCAAGCGGGCGTGCTTTTTTTGATCGTGTCGACAGCACCGTCACGTGGAAAAATCGGTTCAACAAATATCGAACGGGTATTTTTTGTGTTTTTTGGTGAAATTTTCCCCCAAGACCGTGGTCATGTGATGAATATTGTCATTGAGTTTAATGTTACCCACGTGAGTCTACGCTTGACGACAATAGTAGCTCCCATCCGCTCCAAAAGAGGTTTGGTGGTCGTATTGTTTGTGTATCGCGATACACTCACATCACATGAGGATTTAGGCATTCGTGAGGACACTAGTCCCTGTCAGAGACAGAGGCCGGTGCTCTTGCAGTATTATCCCACTGCCAAGGGTGGCTATTTCCTTCGTGAGATGAACGAGGAGAGAGGTAGAGAAAGAGAGTGACCAGAGGGTCGAGAGGGGCGAGCCGGAGGCTCCCCCATCTCTTCCCTCGGCAAGCGGCCATGGACTTCGGAAGAGACAAATCTCCTCGGTGCTTTACTTGCCACTTCTCCCGATGGCAAGTTACCCCGAGGAATCATGTCTTCCTATACTTTGTATGTGCACAAATGGTTGTTTCCCCAAACACTGATAGAATAGGTTGTTTCCAAGAACACAACCTACCACCGTGGCTACCGGTCCTGTGTTAGTGATGGACACAGGATAATGGTAGTAGAAAATGTCCCAAGTCTAAAATAGAAATGGTAGCTGCTAGAAATGATCGAAATGCATCAATCATTCAATTTTCGGGCCCTAGTTCGTTTTCGTTTGGTAGTACGACGGGGCAATCTAACATCACCGAGGGTCGTGGCCGAACGCGACTGGGGTAAATTACAGTTTCCTTGAACACTTCTCCGTCGTTTATTAGTTTCGCTGGGTGGCTCAGAGTCACTTTGCACAACCAATTTTCGAGGTGAAGCTTCTTCAGGATTAATTGCCTGTCTCCGTTTTCGTTTCCTGGTTTCACTGAGTAATTTTGGATCTCCCTGTTTAACTGGGGCACGAGACGCAGATTAATCAGGCGGCGCGATGTCCAAACCACAACGGGTTCGGTAGGCAGCTATCAAGTACATTGTGGAATTTCGTCTGCTCTGTACATAAGATCCGACTCAGGGCCGTATCCACGAAGACGCAAACGATACTTGTAGTTGCACGGGGTTTTCGGACTTTTATGGCTTACCACTTTGTCAACGATGTAGGACTCAATTTTCGGTTGAGCTTCATGGGGACGGTCTAGCTCGGGCAACGGAATCTGGCGTCCTAAGAAAAACTCAGAAGTTTATCAAAGTCTGGCGCAGGTGGCGTTTTCCTCGCATATTACCGTTTAATATGGGCTAAATGGACCGAAACTTCACGAGTTTCATTCTGGCGTCTCACTCTATATACCACAGGTGATAATTGGGAGCAGATGACGTAAGGCCCACGCCACGGTAATAGCAGCTTCGGATCTGGTCCATCCGAATCCTGGTAGGGTCGGTACACAAGTACTAAATCGCCAGGTTTAAACACAGGGATAGGATGTAGTTTAGCATCCTTGGCAGCTTGTTTTTGTGAGCGTTCCGACAAGTTACGGCGCGCTAGTTCAAACGCAAACTGTAGATTTTCCCGTGTCGTTTTAGAAAATTCTTCGGTATTTGCTGTTGTTCCTTCATGAGGAATACCGAGAATTATGTCAACTGGTAGACGTGGCTTCCGGCCAAACATAAAAAAACGACGTTTCGTGCATGCTGGAGCTAAAAGATGTGTTGTAGGCCAGTTGAACAAAAGGCAGCAGTGATGCCCAGTTATCGCGGTTCATGGAACTATGCATTGCAAGCATTGCATGCATGGTTGCATGTACTCGTTCTGAAACGGAATTACCCTGAGGACGATATGGGGTCGTGCGGGTCTTTTTATAGTTCAGAATCCGCTGTAGCTGCTGGACTACACTGTTTTCAAACTCAGGACCTTGGTCGGAGTGCAACATTTCAGGCGATCCAAAGATGCCAATGATGCGGTCGATAATGGCCTGCGCGACAGTGACTGCTGACTTCCTGGGAATTGGAGTCAACACGGTGAGTCGGGTTTGGTGGTCCATCATGGATAGGACGTATTTGCACCGTACCCCGGCGGCTGAAACTGATTCCACTTTATATTCGACCAGATCAACCGAAACACGTTCAAACGGTCTTTGTACAGGTACATGTCCCGTTGGTAATTTGTTTCGATTGTGGGCCGTTTTACGACGTTGACAGGCTTGGCATTCTTGACACCAAGTACGAACGTCCCGATTCATGGTTGGCCACCAGTATTTTTGGCGGACCTTCTCATAAGTCGGTCTAGACGCTAAGTGGCCTCCAGACAATACGTGATCGTGATACAGTAGGCGTGTAACACGAGTCCTGTCAGGGCTGATGGTAACACTAATTGGTCACTAAACGTACTATGCTTACGGAGGTGGCACGGTAAATACGATTTGAACAGCAACCCACCGCGTATAGAGTAGTACGACATGGAAGTTGTTGTTTCGTTATCGGGTAGACGGGCGTCTTGTTTTGTAAGGTAGTCGACATATGTGCCATATTCAAGAGCTTGTTTCTCACGCAAGACATCGCGGTCAAATGTCTCAAACACATTGGTCGCGCTAATATACACCGATTTCTCAGCGAATAATTCGCGGTCACTTTGAACAGGTTACAACTTATCCAGACGATCTGCAGACACTTGGTAACGACGTCGTGGTGCACTCGAATGCATTGCAGGGTCCTCAGGAACATTCCTACATATTGGTGCAAGTTGCGGCGTTTCCAACTGCTGTTGGTGACTGAACGCAAACAACCTAGAGAGGGTGTCCGGGATTACATGTAATTTTCCCGGCTTGTGTCGCACGGTAAAATTCAAAAGACTGCAAAGCAATTGCCCATCGGGTCAGCATATTCGACGTGTCCTGCATCGTGTACAAATATCTCAACGCCGCATGATCCGTGACAACTTCGAAATGCCTGCCCCATAGGTAGGGTCTCCAGTGTTGTAAAGCTAATACTACACCGTAACATTCTTTCATAGTCGGGGAATAGTGGCGTTGAGCTTGGTTAAATCGCTGGCTAAAATAAGCAATAATATTAATGTCGTCGCCTTTCTTTTGGCCCAGGAATGCTCCGGCACCAACTTCACTGGCATCAACATGTACCACGAAATCTTTGGTAAAGTCAGGGAAACTTAAAACCGGGGCTTTGCTGAGTAACCGCTTCACTTCCGTAAAAGCCTTATCATGTTCCTGGCTCCAACGTTTTGCGATCGATTTTACATGCTCTTTCTGTGTGAGTTCGACCAGCGGTGCGATCACCGTAGAAAGGTCGGGTATAAATTTCCTCACATAATTCACCGTGCCCAACACTGAACGAAGTTCCTTGATTGTTTTCGGTGGTGGCAAGTCGAAAATAGCTTTAATACGATCTTCCCCAATACGAATCCCTTTAGCAGACAGAATGTGGCCCAAGTGTTTGACTTCCTTTGGTCCAAATTGTACTTTCGAGGGTTTCAAGGTAA